CTCAATTAATGAAGCTTCGGGGTTCTCTAACAACGACCTGGTAGAAGATGAAACCCAATCAACTGCTGAAATTGATCCCCCATGACCTTGTGGGGGCAAAGCCGGCAACATCCGACGCACAGATAGCTTCTGCATCCTGGCCACCTCTTCTCCGGTGTATGAAACATCTTTTCCATCCAAATCTCGTTTGATCTCAGCTACTCCATAATTAATGCAACAGTCGTGAGCCAAAATGACTCCTATCCTGTCTGTTAATTCTTTCAAACACTCTTTTTGCAAAATGTTAGGCCTGGTGCCTTTGAAACACATCCCACGTTTCCACAATTGTTGAGTAAAAACAATGGTGCAAAACAGCCAGCAGTCCACAATGTCAGAATCGCTCCAACCCTTATGGGCCGCCCAAAAACCCCTTGGCGAAACAGCTAACCTTTTGCGCAGATCTCGCCACAGGTCAGGGTACGGGTAGAGTTGCCGTCGTTGGCGGCGTGCGAACCAGTCTAAATGATCCTCACCCCACATCATCTGAAAGCTTTTCTCCAGTCCATCTCGAAAACCTCCCTTCAGGAGGCTCCAAGCCAGAGCTAAGCCCAGGGACTTAAGGCTTTGGCAACTTTCCAGCACCATGTCAGGTAGAGGCTGCGAAAAATGATCCTCAATTGGAAAAAGGCGGTCGTTCATGCCCATTTCAAATGGCAGGCCTACTGAAGGCTCGCTGCGACTTTGGGCCAGAATAGGATCGAGACAGTCAGTCTCAACATCCTTTGTTTTCACAGCACCCGGCATGCCTTGCCCGGTCTTACCTGTGACACCTGCTCCCTCATCCTCTGTGCGTTCGTCTCTTTCTTTCTTTCTAATCTTGGCAAAACGGCCCTCTGCCTTGCCATCATAGAAACCTCTGTTTCTCACTCTTTCTTGGTCTTCTCCTCCTCTCTTTCTTTCGGTTTCTGCCCCTGAGAATCCCAGCCTCTTCGATAACTTTGGTCGTACCAGCCTGGTCTGTTCTTTCCCTTTCCTTTCTTTCCTCCTCCTTTCTGGTCTTTCTGACCCTTCTCTCCTTTCTCTCCTTTCTCTCCTCCTGCAGAAAAATTTGTCCAACTCCCCCACTGGCCTTTGCCTTTTCCTCGGCTGTTGTACATAGTGCTGCCTCCTCCTCCTCTGGCTTTTTCGATCATCTTGCCATACTTCATTGCCTCTAGGGCCATGGCAGGTCCTGTTATCGAAGATTCCTCTGGGACTGCTATCTCCAAGTGCCTTGCCACTTCCCAACCTCCATCTTGCAACGCCTGTTCTAGTGAGAAGAAGCGAGCTGCTGCCATGTCCATGGCTTTCAGCACCTCTCCTGACCTCACCATGTCGATGATGTTCGCCATGAGGTACAGCTCGCGCATCTCCCTCAACTGAGTTCTGTGTTTTGTCCTCAAGACTAGGTTGTAATATCCGATGAGCTTGGGGCCCTCCAACACCACTCGGTCTGAGGAAGTTCCTGAAGGCTGTATCTCTGCTAGGCTTCCCTCGATCCTCTCTATCAGCAACTTCATAACGGAGCCTGGTGTTTTCTCTGATCTTTTCTTCAGCGGTGCTTTGTATTTCTCCTCTTCGGTGTCGCTTTTCGATTTGCTCTCCAAATCCTCCTCCTCTGAGCTCTCCTGGCTTCCTTCTGACGAGCTCCCTGGGCTCGTCCCTCCTGATCCTCCGCCACTGCGACCCTTGGTCCCCTTCCTTCCTTTTCTCTTCTTTCTCTTCTTGTCCTTTTCCTTCTTGCCAACGAGAACTTGTTTCAGCAAGGTGACCACTCGGTCCTCTTTCCTGTCTCTCTTCTTTCTCTTCTTTGAAGTTTCTCTCCTTGAGGCAAGCTTCTCCACGGCTCTGGCCAAAAGCTTTGCTCCTAGGCCTCCTCTCTCCATCTTCTCCTCTAAGTCCGGCGTCTTTCGCCTCTTTGTCTCTTTTCTCGCCAGCTCCAATATCTTCCTGGCATCTTCCTCTCTGTCTTCGCGATCTCTCTTCGCGTCTGTCTTGTCTCTGCCCTCTTCTCGAGCAGCTGACGGTTCTCCTCCTGCTCCTCTGTTCATAGCTCCTCCGAAGTGCAAGGCTTTGAGGCGGGTCAACCTCTCTTTCAAGTGGTCCCGGCGTTGCTTGTGTGTATCTGGAGGTTTCTCGCGCTCGCGTTCTTTCATTTTGCGAACATCTCTCTCCACTTCGGGAGCTGGGTGTTCGGTGTTTTCTGGCCCTGCTAGCTGGGTTTCTGCTATCAGTTTGTCCATCTCTTCCTCCATGTTTATGCCACAAACCTCCTCCATGAGTTTCACCCATTTTTTCACACCGGTGCTTCCCAGGTTCTGGGGATCGATTTCTTGACCATGCATCATGGTAAGGTGCTTCAGGTGATAAGCATACTCTCCCCCTTCGCATCCTGGAGCGGGGCAAATGTGCACCGTAGCGTTGTTCTTCAAATCCAAGGTCACTTTTCTGGAGACTCTTGACTCGCTTCCTCCTAAGCTCTCTACTTCTACTTTCAGACCTCCATCTGGGAGCACCTCGGTATTCATCACGAACAACCAAACTGGGTGAGCGTCCCCTGGGCTCAACAAGTCTCCTAGAACCACCTGGATGACCTGCCCGCGTTTGGGCTTCAACTTTTTCCATCTTTCTGGCTGTTCCAAAGAGAACTCACCTTCCCATTCACTTGGAACTTCACTTGGCTCGTAACCTTCGTCACGAAGCATCACTTCCCTTTGAAGCCTCGTGGTCCCCTGCCTCCACTTGATCCTGAGTAGGGTGAACCTTGGTCTGGCCTCCTCAACCTGGATCTCTCTCTGTCTCTACCTTCTGTGCGCCCTGTTTCTTCTGTTCTCAAAAACCTTTCACCGCCTCTGCCTGTGCTCCTAGCTCCTCTCACGCCAACTGTCTCCTCTGGGGCCCTTTCGCTTCTCCGCCCAGCTTCGTCTCCTCTCCTGACACCTTTGCCTTCCTCACACCTCCTAACCTCGGTCTCTACACTACGTTCCTCTTCGTGCAAGGACTGAAGGACTCCTCTCCTCAGTGCGCACAAGGTCCTGGCTAGATCTTTGATTAACCTGGAAGTCAGCAGTTCGTGCCAATCACTCAATGGGTGGAGCTTTAGTTCCTCCTGAATGGCCTGGACCCCAACACAACCGGAGCAGAGGCGGTTTTCTCCAAACGACACGCGTCCGCAAATGGCACAGGGCATTAGCTAACAAAACCTCTCAAGAGGACTTGAGAATCAAAACGACCAGTAAAGAATCAGCTTCAACCTAAATTTCGCCTGACATCGAAAACAAAGGAGGAACAATTCGCGCACAAAACGACCGCAGCCGCACCCGTCGCACAGACAAGGTACCTTTCATCGTCGGCTGCAGCCACTTAACACGGAAAAACACACGGTTTCGTGCTCCGGCTTCCTCCCCAAAACATAGCCCATGCAACATTCATGCAGCCATTACAATGCGTTTCACAGCATCCCGTGGCAAACCCGCACCTATCTACGCACGTGGCAACATCAAATGACGACAATGAAGCAGCCATTCCAATGCAATCTGCAACCAGAGATTCAAGAACCACATAGAACTACGCACACAGACACAACCACTCGTTTCAAAACACATAGGAGGAACAATTCGCGCACAAAACGACCGCAGCCGCACCCGTCGCACAGACAAGGTACCTTTCATCGTCGGCTGCAGCCACTTTACACGGAAAAACGCGCGGTTTCGTGCTCCGGCTTCCTCCCCAAAACATAGCCCATGCAACATTCATGCAGCCATTACATTGCGTTTCGCAGCATCCCGTGGCAAACCCGCACCTATCTACGCACGTGGCAACATCAAATGACGACAGTGAAGCAGCCATTCCAATGCAATCTGCAACCAGGGATTCAAGAACCGCATAGAACTACGCACACAGACACAACCACTCGTTGCAAAACACATAGGAGGAACAATTCGCGCACAAAACGACCGCAGCCGCACCCGTCGCACAGACGAGGTACCTTTCATCGCCGGCTGCAGCCACTTTACACGGAAAAACACAAGGTTTCGTGCCCCGGCTTCCTCCCCAAAACATAGCCCATGCAACATTCATGCAGCAATGCGATCTCCACAGCTTCAGGCGCATCTCCCACGTCCCCACCTCCCTTCCTCACCACTCCCCTTCATCACCACTTCCCTTCATCACCACTTCCCTTCCTCACCACGTCCCTTCGTCACCACTTCGCATCGTCACCACTTCCCTTCCTCTCCACTTCCCTTCGTCACCACTTCCCTTCCTCACCACGTCCCTTCGTCACCACTTCGCATCGTCACCACTTCCCTTCCTCACCACTTCCCTTCGTCACCACTTCCCGCCATCACCAATTCCCTTCCTCACCACTTCCGTTCCTCACCACTTCCCATCGTCACCACCTCCCTTCCTCACCACTCCCCTTCATCACCACTTCCCTTCGTCACCACTTCCCTTCCTCACCACTTCCGTTCCTCACCACTTCCCATCGTCACCACCTCCCTTCCTCACCACTCCCCTTCATCACCACTTCCCTTCGTCACCCCACTTCCCTTCCTCACCACTTCCCATCGTCACCACCTCCCTTCCTCGCCACTCCCCTTCATCACCACTTCCCTTCCTCACCACTTCCCATCGTAACCACATCCCTTCGTCACCACCCTGTGTCATAGCTTCTTATTCTTTTGTTTTGTATTGTTAGATTATGTATTGTTCTGTGATCTACCACCCTTCATCATAGTCAATTGCATCAAGTAAAAGTCATTCGTAACTCGGAAGTATTGCTTCCCAACTTCCTTTGACAATACATATCAATTTTTATATCTCTCTGGAATGAAATCCTTTGCGATACCACCACCTGAAAATAGGAACACCGGTAAGATCAGACGCAGTGACACTGCAAAAAAAAAATGGTAAAAGCCATTTGGATGACCACAATTTGGACCCAGAGCTTTCACAGAATTTGCATGGAATTGCCAAGTTGCAATATGAAGCTTGTAGTTTAAGTTTTGTCCACTCTTTTCGTGGTTCCTGGGTCAGCAGGCAGCTTTGGGCAAAGCACAGACAGAAACCTTCGGCCCTGGAAAATGCACAGAAGGTGTATACACGTATGTTTCACTTATGAAAACGGTATTGAAATATGGAAACGCTGCAAGGCATGCAAAGGTGCTCAATTAGTATGATGGGGACTTCAATAACAGCACCTTTGCTTGCGCATCCGGGCAAAGTTCCAATACAACACCAAGCAGGTGGCAACACCTTTCTGCCGGGGAGCTCACGACATCTTCGGTCTATGCAATCACTGGCATCCACAGCCCATACACAAAGTCTGCCTGGTCATGCAATGCACTGGCATTTATTGTTTCCGTTGGTCTTGCAAGACTTGTCAGATATGATATACCGGATATATCCGGATATACCCCTCCATTACAGCTGAATGCTCAATAAGTCTAAAGTTTCGCCTGATCCTGATCTACCAATCGACATGTCAGCGGTTAACCGCAATGGTTTGACGTTCTCTCGGGCTGCTTTACCAGATTGGAGGGTGCACCGTTGCACCGGGCCTTCACAAGGGACGAGTGCCAGGCGTTCATTGTCCAAGGCATCGAAATCAAATGTGTCCAGGCTCTTCAGCAAATAGGTATCTGACAGATCTGACATCATCTGACGGTATCTGATCATATCTGAGCAGTTGCAGTATGATGCAGTATCCGTATCCACGAGAGTTGTCTGCGAGTCCACAAGGCTCAGACTAAGCAGCCCATGGAGGTTCCTAAATAGTTTCAAATCTTGCACGGTAATTCAAGATCTGACATGTTAATGCCAGTGGAGGTCTTGAAAACAATTTCCGCTAGCGTGCGCCATGCGCTCGTAAGTCCTAGACGGTTGGTGGCCCCTCAGCCACCCTCAGGGCCTAAAATGGTAGTGCGTCCAGCACGAATATCACCAACCTCAGTAGATGCCATCAGCCAAAACATCAGCAAGGAGTACTGAGTACTGTTTGCCCTGTCTATTGAATCCTGTCTTCCAGCTCCAAAAGTCTTCCGGCTCTCAAAAAAACATTTAAAAAAACGCATAAAAACGTGATGAAACAAGAGACGCCCTGCGCTGCAGTGATGCTGGAATGACTGCATGAAACTGAAAGCTGTGCAGGCAGATCACATCGAACAATCACGCATCTGGAAGGTTTCAACATGTTCAGCATTGCGCCATACAGTGGCTCCCCATTTTTCTGCCACGTGGGCCAGAGCGTTCCACCGCCGCACTTCTGTGCCCACATGCTACATACTGTAATTAAACGAAATGACCAGAATGAAGCTCAAGCAGAACTTACGTCCGCTGTCGCCGCTGTCTGCTTAAAAGTATACACAGGTCCCCAACATGGGGCTGCTACCAGTAGTCCTGGAGCCATCGAAGGCGAGTTCAAAAACGCAATGCCTGGCGCAAAATTCTTCACCTCGCTCGCATCGATGATGCCATCATTGTTGGAGTCTCTGATCGCCGTGAGGTTCCCGCTGTGAGAGCTGGAAAAGAAAACTGTGCCGTCGAATTGGTTGATCACCTGGTGACTTTGGGCCAATTGAGAAACAAAGGTGGCTCACATCCCTTAGTGACTCAGACTTGCTTGGATGGTTAGGTAATAGCTTCGAGAACAAGCAGGACAGGCTAGAAATTCAGAAATACAAATGCATCAGAATGCAAAAAAATGCTAGTGGGAAGTGGGAACGGATCACTTCGACAACATCCAACCAAAGGAGACACGAAGAGACGAAGAGATGACACGATATGGGACGATGATGAGGGCATGATGATGATGATGATCATGATGACCGCAGTGGCAGGCAGGCACTCATCCAGCATGAACCTGCCATGACCCTGCACCCTCCTGCAACCTTCTGATGGCCGGACCTGAATTTCTACCTTGGCCACCAAGAGCCATGGCAATCCCTTACCACCAGTTTGGTTTGAAACTCCTATCTGTGCTATTCTGTACCTGGCCAAAGTCAATGTACCAGGCCTGGAATCTTGGCAGCAGCGGAACCTAGTACAGTAATTAGCTACTATAGCAGGTGGTCAGGACAGGCTCGAAGCTGACACTGGCACAACTGAATCGGTAGTATCTATTGCCGTGGCACTCCCCAAGGTCTGTCGTATGTGGTCTAACACATGAAAACAAATATGCCGGCTGTGGCTGCTTCAAGGCTTTGGCAAGGCACTGGAATACCCTGCGCATCGGGGAGGCAAATCATACCATCAATGCTGCTGATTGCCCCGGGCTCAAAAAAAGCTCTCTCCTCGTCTCCAGCAGCACCAAAGTGATCCCAAACCTAGGTGAAAAAATGCAACAATGTGGAAAGCAAACACTGTGTGCTGCTTTGTTTTTCAACTCTTCAATCTAAACCTTTTGCACCTATATAGTGAAGACAAACCAAGAAAACAAGTCAAGGTCGCTCTGCCAACAAGAAAACAATCAAACGTTTACACTGTGTCCCTCTGGCAATCATGGTTCAGCAGGAAATTCTATTTAGAATGAGATCATCTTGTTCCAATGATTGTCAGAGGGCCAGCTGGACAGACTAAGGACCGGCTCATCGTATTGCCACAGGGTCTCACCAGTTGCAGCATCAAGTGCCATCACCCGGTTGTTGAAATGTGGCACCTGATGCATAGGCGGCTCCAAGGACCAAAACGCACATCAATGCACAAAAAAGTCCCAAATACCCGTCACCATAGAAGTGAAACAGAAGGCAAACCGTCAATTGTTTATAAGGCTCTTGTCTATGTGATAACCTGTTTTCAGTGAATGTAACTCCAGTGCCAGATTAGACTACCAAAGGAATCATTTACAGCAGTGCGGCTCACCCTGCCAGTCACCCACTATTGGATCTATCGGAAGGCCCACCAGACCGGCTGTTCACCCAGTTCACCCCGCCTGCATTTCCGCTCTGAACTCTGGATCAGTCAAATATTTCTGTGTGGCTTCGCCCTTCAGCAAAGGCGGGAGGCCTGTATTTTGGCCCACCCCCACGACAACGGCCAACTTCCCATTAGGACCCAACCGGCCCACAGCAGGATATTGTATCCCTTCGTATCCTTCATCCATATTCTTTTGCCAAAGTTTTTGCCCATTGCTGGCATCATAGGCCGCCACTCTCCCAGCTTTAGCGCTTTTGTTCACATTGCTCTCTGCATAAAAAATGCCATTGGGGCCCATGGCACCTCCGCCCGTGCCGCACATAAAAGGCCAAGGGTCTGGATGTGGCGATGATACCTTCCAAATGACTTGCCCAGTGCTCAAGGAGAGGCGATAAACGGCACCACAACTAGCTGAAAAAATCAGAGAGCTGTCATCGATGGCGGAGGGGGCGAAATTCCAAAAGATGTCATCAGTCTGAAAATCCCACAAGTGAGTTCCGTTGCCCGTGCTTACAGCCCTGAGGCCATTGGCTCCACCAACACGCAGGACAGGATCTGAAGGATCTGCAAAGGGCATCACCAGCGTGCTTCTAACGGCAAGGAGGGAATTGGCTTCAAGGCCACATCTGCCAGACATAGTCACGTTCCAATCAACTGTACCATTTTCCATGTGGATAGCATAGATGTGCATCTTGTCACTGCCACAACCGGCCAAACAGTAGATCTTGCCCCGGTATAAAGTTGGAGCTGTGACCATCTTCTCACCCTGGTGCCAAGTCCACAACAAGTTCCCCAGCTGGTCAAACTTCCGAACCTTTGTGGTCGTTGTCACATAGATGTCCAAATGATCATCGATAAGTGGACTGTGACGCACTTGCTCATGATCCAAGTTTGGCCAAATCCAACTGGGGGTCTGAGAGATGTCAGGCACACTCCAATTCACAGAGCTGCTGGTGAATCTATCGCCTCCACGCTTCGCCCAATAGTAACCTTTTGGTCCAACATTGATGAGAGAAACCGAGCACATAAAATGCACATGTTACATGACTGCCACGACTCAACTTGTCAAAAACGCAGCAAAGTGCAGAATATTTAGACCAGTACATCAAACTGAAACTCTAGCCTTCGTCGCTCTTTTCAGTGAGTTCATAGTGAAGTTTCATCTGTATCCAAGATGTTGCATTTGGGTCTTCACATTCATCAGCAAACGCGGCCAGCGGAAGAAACCAAAGTCTGAAGAGCGCCAACCTGGATAGCAATGCTCGAAAAGCCTGAAGTCTCCGTAACAATTTCCACTAAAATAATCCAAAATATCCAAAATCATCAGCATACAACAAAAACAATCACGCCAATCCCATGAAACTTAAATATGTTGCCAAGTGACATTCTAGGATATAACATGTTTGCTCGGTATGAGCCCTATGGAGATGGAGCACTAAATCGTAGCTCGCAACCAGCAGCACATCTGGCTTGAACCAAGACAATTCCGCAGCACGCCAAATCCCACCCAACTGATCCCAACACGTTCACTGTGCTTGCAGCAAGTTCCCAACCAAAACTCAAGGTGAAAATGGCGGGGTTGTAAGTTTATGGTCTGGCATTCCGTCTGAACATATAGGGCAAATCAACACCAACGACTCAAAACACCTTGGTGGTTCAACATGTTCAACTTAATTACATCTTCAAGCTCAAGTGACATAGTGCGTCTGGTACGCTAAGCGCACTCCACTGCCACCCTCTGGCAAAGCCCGTCCGCGCGCCAGCAAATGCACTTCGGAGGTGTATTGTTGCAATTCCTGCACGCGTCAAATAAAAAGCAAAGTCGTTTCATTCCATGTGGGAAATGAATCCATGCCAACAATCTAAAAACATCTAAGAACCAGTCCACAAACCCCCAAACTTTGAATCCCCTTCAAAAGAAATGTGTTCAACTTCGCCCTGCTGCGCGAACAGCAGTTCGCGACTGGAATGTAATTTGTTCACGCAAACATGTTTTCATCGTTTGTCTATGGGCATGCAGATGTCTTTGTTTCGAGGAAGCTGGCCCCACGCAAGAGCACTCCAATGCCCTCCGTCAGCACAGAGGAGAACTCATTACTTCTCGTGATTTTTGTGTGACTCCCCGCCAGGTCTCTACATCACAGTGCAACGTTCGAGCCAACCACATATATTGGTGCAAATTCTGCAGATTGGACAAGTTGTAGCTGATGCTTTTGTCATAGGTCGTCAATACTTTTCTCAGCTCTCTTTCTCTGTGAACAGTGACCCCTGGGGATGATCCAGTCAAGACATGTCAAAAACCACAAGGCCCCTTTGAGCAGTTGCACGTGTTGCACGTGTTGCACGTGTTGCACGTGTTGCACGTGTTGCACGTGCCTGCGCTGTCTCCAAAGCTGCATTGCCTTGGCCTAAGATCATTACAGCTTTCCCCTCAAAGGGCTCACCTGGCGAAGAACTCAGAGGCTGACTGACTGCCGAAACGCTAATGACTCTCATGACTGCTGAATCCGATAGGGAACTAGTTTGAACTGTTTGAACATGTGCTACTGTTTCAACATGATCTTAATCAACCCATGGTCGCTTCCCTTTTTAGGTCCTGAAAAGGATGCCGCATCCTGTGCTCAACATCAGCTCCATGCCCGGAACAAACGCTGCTGCCTGAGGATGGCAAATCTTCATAAGCCAACAAGAGCTCGCCTGGGATGTGGGTTCCCACGACATGCCACGACTTTGTGCACCGTGACGTGCTGAACCTTCTTTGCATGTGCATATAAAATGGTTTGTTTATCTGTTCGTTTTTGTGCTCATGTGGATACATTTTGCGTACATAACAATATATTTATATATATATAGTCTACATATATATAATAATACTGTAATCTATATATATATATGCACACACGTATGTAATGTGCAAAATTAATCATTTTTTAATCTTCATATAACAAGCCATGCCTTGGTCTCTTTTGATCTTTCTATTTCAACGGGTGTGATGTATATTGATATATGCGCATGTATGGGAGATGTGTGTGTGTGTGTATGTGCGTTCGCCATTTTTCTCCATATAAACAAATGTGCAGAATCATCATGTATATATATATGTCTATATACATATATATTTACACTGATAACTGATGTATATGTCTAGGTGGAATTTTACGTAGGAGAGAAGAGGAGAGACTTCATGCAGTGGGCTGCAAGGGCAAGAGACCCTTTCGATGCCAGGAAGTGAAAGTGAAAAAATGGAGAAGAAAAAGAGAGGGAGAGAGAGGAGGAGAGAGGGAGAGGATAATTATATACATTTTGCACAAAAACCAAATAAATAAATCAATATATTAAATTATACTAATATATTCGCTGAAAAACCGCAGGACGCCGCGAAACATTGAAATGCTGTCCCCGACCACTTTGGCTCAGTCAAGCCGCTGCCGTCCACCTTTTCGGCCCCGCTGCGTGGCAAGAAAAACCCAGTGGCCAATACCAGCTCTTGGCAATGGCAGCGCGTTAGACCTGCAGAAATATGCAGACATATGCAGACCATGTGAATCCATAGGAGACCATGTGCAAGAGACCACCTCAAGATCACTGGACACTGCCGGACTAGTGAAATTGTTGAAATTGAAATATATGAATAAGTATGTTGAGATGGCATGACATGAATTGAAATGATTTGAAATGATGTGAGACACCGGCTCTTGCAACTCACAAGATGTTCTGTGAACTTCTCCGCCACATATCGCGGCCGTGCCTGTCCCTGAGAGCTGCAACTCAAAACGACTTTCTGCTGACTGCACTGGCAGCACCTCACACGTTTGATTAGAGGTCGATGCAGCGTCGATATCATGTTGAGCACATTGACACTCGGGGTACTTCACAATCTGAGCACAATCCCAACCCCAACGGATCATAACGTATCCAAGTGGGCTCAAGTCTTTCCACCACGCGAAAGGCGAGCCTTCAACACCTCGGTGTTGTAGCGGATGTGATCCTGCTGCTCCGCTGCGAACTCTTGGAGGTACTCAGAAAGCACCGAAGCCTCGGGTCAGGGGCATTCATCGCAGCTGCAACAATAACAGTCAATAACAGGAATGCAGTGGGCTAATCTGGGTTCATTATGTTAATTATGCTCCATGCAGCAGTGGGTTGATTCGTGTGATCGCTTGTTTTTCATAGAATTTGATAGGCATCAAAGAAAGGCATCAAGAATGCGACACGTATGATCTTGCAGCTCGTCTGATCAAACAAAGTTCCCACCAACGCGACTACACCTACCGATCCCTCCATATGCCCCGCATCCTGGGGAAAAAAAAACAAGATATGATAAGGATTGAAAAGGCATGGCGAGGCACATGCGGGAAGAGCACTTTGGAACGCTCAGTGACGGGTTTCGTGCGCAAGGATTCCTGGCAGCGGTTCCATCATGTTCCATTGATTTCAGTCCTACAACTCATTTCGAGATTTCTTCCATGAAGGACTCTGCGAGCGACTTATTCATTCTCTTTCACCTGGATAAAGACCCGGATTGAATGTAAAAACATGCAAAAAACTGTAAGAGTGATCCTGGCCAGAGATGCCAATATTATGTATATTATATATATATATTATATATAATATTATATAATCCAATTACCTCACAGGACTGGGCTCACCTTCCGTGAAAAGGTGAAGAGTTTTCCAAGTTCCAGGCACCTCGCCTCGCGGACATCAATCAGCGAGTTCCAGTCATGTCGGAAAGCAAACTCTGCGCTTCGGTCGTCTCGAACTTTCCTGGGCTTGGAATGAGGACAGGACGCCCCAGTGGCCCAGGCATTTCCAAAAAGCAAAGGACCCAGGAACAATGAGAAGCACCTCGCCAAAAGTATCACTCCTCGTTGTCGTTGTCATTAAGGTTCCGGTTGTGGTTATGGTTGTTGTTGTTTTTTATTCTTTTTCTTCTTCTTCCTCTTCTTCTGCTTCTTTGTTTTCGTCTTCTTCTTCTTTTTTCTTTCTTTTTCTTCCTGCTGTTGCTGTTGCTGTTGCTGTTGCTGTTACTGTTGCTGTTGCTGTTGCTGTTGCTGTTGCTGTTGTTCTTGTTCTTGTTCTTGTTCTTGTTGCTGTTGCTGTTGCTGTTGCTGTTGGTGGTGTTGTTGTTGTTGTTGTGGTGGTGGTGGTTGTGGTTGTGGTTGTGGTTTTGGTTTTGGTTGTTGTTTTTGTTTTCTGTGTTATTGTTATTGTTGTTATTGTTGTTATTGTTGTTATTGTTGTTATTGTTTGTTATTGTTGTTATTGTTGTTATTGTTGTTATTGTTTGTTATTGTTGTTCTGGTTCTTGTTGTTCTTGTTGTTCTTGTTGTTCTTGTTGTTCTTGTTGTTCTTGTTGTTATTGTTGTTATTGTTGTTCTTGTTGTTCTTGTTGTTTATGTTGTTCTTGGTGTTCTTGTTGTTCTTGTTGCTCTTGTTGTTCTCTTGTTGTTTGGGTTGTTCAGGTTGTTCTGGTTGGTCTGTTTGGTCTTGTTACTTGCTGGTGTTGTTAATTGTTGTTACTTGCTGGTGTTGTTACTTGCTGGGTTTTTCTTCTTCTTCTTCTTCTTCTTCTTCTTCCTCCTGTCGTCAGCACGGACGCAGCCCAGTAAGACTAGTCGGGAAAATTCAGGGCTCATGAAAAATAGCCCGACCCCCAATCCCAGTTCCGCCATGTAATGCAGCAGAAAGTCCGCTTGTTGAGAGAGATGAGCTTGCGATGTCTAGGGTAGTGCTCAAAAAAGCTGCCAGGTCGAGCTTGCCTCTGCCATGTGGCATTGGAGACTGTCACAAGTACCTTTTCCAACCTGTCTAACCGGGATGAAGATGGGAAACAACATACCCCCCAAAAAAAATGGCTAGCTACAGTAAGACACTCAACGGCAGAGGTATAACACTGTGAGATACGGACTGCTGCTACACAAATCTTAAAAGGCCCAGACCGTGAAATGGTCGACGGTCTCCAAACATCGCAATTCTGGCGCTTCTTCGTTAATCATACCGATCCTTTGCATAGCTGCGTGGAGATCCAACCCTTCCTGGCTTAGGATCCAACTCGTGACATCTTGTAACATGGACCCTGTCCCTCTCAGAACAGTCTCCGCCCCTTTTGAAGTAATTCAGGCCTTTCAAAGATCACATAATCTCGATGAGCATGTTTCAGGAAGTGACCCAGCTGCACACCAGCAGGTCCAGCGCCTGCAGGCTCTGGCGATGTCTGAAGAATGTGTGTGTGCGGGTAGGGTGGGCTGTGAGGCTCTAATCTCGAAGGGACACAATCCTTCAACAATCAATCAATTAAAATATAAATGACTGTGATTGAGTGGTTCGGTGTTTCGGGCGACTGCATGTACACCAGTATGCTGGACAAGCATCACGGGTGGAAGAGGAGGACACGCCTATGATGCAGTACTGATGCTGTTCAGCTGAAACCAGAAACAGCAATGCCAGCCATGCAGGAAAAGGCCGCAACGGCGACGCAGGCCACATCTGAGAACTTGTAATCTGCTGCTTGTTGAGTTTCTTGATGTTTCTTGTCAATTCTGGCTCAGGGTGAAGGAGCAGTTGGAACACCTCAGGTTCTGATTCATCTTTCATCATCGTTCAATTGTTTTTACGTGTTGTCATCCTGATGTTGGAACAAAAAGACACGCCGCAGTTTTTCAGTAGGGCCTGTTGGCCGATGCAGTATAAGTACAGCATTCACCCATTTCATTCCATGTCTGATCTAGCTTTCTCGGAGGATCCTGTTCTGACAGTTTGAATCAGGGCACATAGAGCTCATTGATCTGTCTCATTCCTGCTCGCCGGTTGATCCCTTGCTCTTGTGTCAAATGTTAATGTAATGCCAGAACCGGCTGCGGCTGATGACACATCCAGAACCTGTCGAAGCTTGCAGTGGTGGAATGTGGTGGCTCTTAAGAGTTAGTGACATATCCACTGACGCAATCTGACGCAAGCTAATACTGCGCGAAGCTTTGTGCTTTTCAGGCGACCCGTATGCCTCTCACTCTAGCAGCGCTGCTCAAGGACTGCTGCAGTGGCATTTCATCACTGCGTGCATCTGCGTGCAAGCAAAGGTCATGTCGATCAGGCGCAAAGTGCAGTTGCTGCTGTGTCCATCAGAGTAGCTCAATTTTCTGGGACGACCACTACTCACTAAGTCTTTGCCAATTTGCAGCGGTGGTGAGAAGCACAATCTGGGACTTCTGTGCGTTAGATGGCTCGAAGGCCCACAGACATGTAGCAAACGAAACCACAGACAGGTAGCCTCGCGCTCGCCGCTACCTCTTGGTCCGCCACTCGTGCTAAATCTCTGCGGCCGATTTTGCTCCAGGCCTCGATGTGCCTTGCAGAAATAGCACCGGGTAGCACTAACCCTGCATCAGTTTCATCCTGTCCACCAAGAGACGTTCCATTGCATCGATTTTCTTCAGCCCAGCATGGATTCAGGGTGATTCCATGTGATTCCAGCATGGAAGTCAGCTGTCAGCTTCGTTGTCGCGGGACTTCTTGAGCAAGTCGTCTCCGGATATCTTACGGCATCTTACGACCTGGAAGGCATCCACGCCTGGGTGGGCGATCTGAGCCACTCTTGATGCACTTTGGTGAGACGAGAAGCCACGTAACCTTGGATGGCACTGGCAAGACTGGCAAGACCGCATCGATGGGCGGTTCGGCGGTTCGGCGGTTCAGGATTGTGGAAGGGCAACCCCGTAATTCTCATTCCGCAGTGTTGTTCAGGGCTGAAATCTATTGAAATCTTTTGGGGGGAAGATGCAAAAACAATCAAAAACAATCTCGCAAACCTAGACTGAGCACAAGACAAGCCAGTCGAGGGATATATAGGTTCTTGATGGTTCTTGTGATTGCTCACCATTTTTGCTGAGGTCGCTGTGAGTTCATGAATAATCCAAGTGTTTGGCCCAGGTTTTGTATGGTTTTATATATTGTATTTCCGGAGGATTCCTGATTCAGTCTTGCGGCACTCTTGCTGCATTGGAGACCCTGATGATGGATGGCGTACAATGATACTGTATAGCATTGTATAGCATTGTATAGCATTGTATAGCATTGTATAGCATTGTATAGCATTGTATAGCATTGTATAGCTGTATTTCTTCCGGGGCCTTCATTTTTGGGGAATTTCGCGGGGTCACCTTCACGGAGCGTTCTCCCGGCCTTGTGGCAACGATTCTCAACTGTGGGAAGATCCCCACATGAACTCCCCCGTAACTCTTTTGAGGGTTGACATGAGTCACGTGGTCAAAATTGGTCGATAGTGGTTTCACAATCCAGACCCGGGCTCCGTCCTGCAAAGTCCCAAGCTTTCTGGATGTGCGCTGTGCTGAGACGGGACAGGTTTCAGATGGTTTCAGGAGGTTCTTGGTTCCCCTCTCTTCGTTGCAGAAATGATGAAAGTCGAGATGCCACATTTGTTCAAGTGCTCCCGCATCTTCTGCAGTGCCACAGGTTCCAGGGTCAGCTGTCGCGACATCACCCATAGAGCTTTTTTATCTGAGGTGCCAATCATAGCAGCCTGACATTGGGAGCCCTCGGGCTGTATCAATAAGTTGTAGACCTGAATCATCTCTGATAAATCGTTGCCAGCTTTGTAATGCATGTACGTTGATTCTTCAACGCATTGCTGTGCAGAATTTCTTGTCTACCAGATTCTAATCAGACTCTCTGACTGTCCCAACTTCCCACCTGGGCATCTTCAGAACCTTGGGCCACTGGCAAGGACCCCTGAAACATGCCGCGTGATATCATGTCAGCGGCGAGAGGGGAAAAAATAGGTTCCTAGATTTTTGCTCTTTGGCATTTCCTTTTTGGATCCCTTTTAACCTTTGTTGTACAGGTCAAGACATGTCAAAACAAATCTAAAATGATGTGGCTCATCTTGTGGGAGTTGGAAGTTAAGGTGGATAATTTCTGGATACTCCAAAAAACAATCTGGATGTTGCCCGGCAATGGGTACCAGGTATGACTCATATCATACAGCTCTTGACTTTCCACCCTCCAGGAATGGGACTAGTTACTAGCTGATTCGTTGGGCTGGGAGTTTCACTGTGCAGCCATCAACCCCAGGGTGAGGTGGGAACTATCCAGTGCCAAAGGCAATTGTTTCCACGGGTTTGCAATATTTTGTTGCATAATGTTGTATATCATCATCGTTGTTTTCGTTCTGTTCTCGTTTTGGTCACGGAGTCTTGCCCGGCCCGGCCTGGGCATGAAGAGCTCATGCTCAAAGTGTCTAGACATGTCTAGACCACTCAAAGTATACTGGGGCGAGCGGCAATCTCCATCACGTCTTATCGACACTAGTTTTTTTTGTACAGACTTTTTATGCAAGCATGCTGAAGTTTGGGCCTGATAACACCCTTGTTGTGCATCTTTGTTCATTCATTATTGTTTACCTGCCATGAGCACGATTTCTAGCCTTGATCTGACATGTCGGGGGGGTTACACTTCCAGAGTTTGAATGGTCCAATAAAACGCTCCCCTTCGACATATTTCGATCTCTTGGTGTCAGGCAGTAGACAACCACGTAGTCCGGGAACCTGCAGCATACATATCAGCAAGTGCTGCAGTCACCATCACTCACCCCTACTATCCCTACTATCCCTACTCGCATCATCCATGCCAAACCCCGGGTATTGGTTCCATCATGTTCCATCGCATTGTCTGGACCGCTGGAGAAAAAACCTCTGTGGCCAAGGCATTTCACTATACACTGTATCTTGGATTGCTTGATTTCTGGCCAGTACCATGTCCAAAAATGTGCCGAGTGGCTGAGCGTTCGGAAGCCCCAGCTGCGGTTTTTTTTGCCAGACCAACTCTGACACGGGGTGCAAGTGCTCCTCAAACTCTGTGCATTATGCTCTGGCAAACGGTTCATATCGGTTTATGATGTCTTGGATTCAGTCAGTACTTCTCAAGTACCCATCAAAGCGCATGTAATGCGAGGTGTCCACAAGGACAAGTCATTAGAAAGAACTCTTGGGATAGGGGTCTGCTGATTCTTCTCACCATGGTTTTCTTTCAATCCGTGCGCAACGTTGCAAGGCTCCATTCATCCAGAGAGATACAATCACATCTAATCCATGTAATGTATTCAATGTATTCCAAGCATGTGTGAGCTACGTTCTTGGTGTGGGAAGAGCTCCCTGACATTCCCTGACCCTCCTTCAATGCACAGAACGCAGCAAACACCACTTGTTCAGGCCTCTTCAATGGCCCGGAGTTCGCCCTTGCGGCTGATGTAGCGCGCAATGATGAAGCACCTGGATGTGACTGCGACCGCTTTCCCTGTTGAGCGACAAAGCTGCGCGATGGCTCTCCTGAAATTCAACATATTTCAACATCGCACCTAGAGACCTCCACATGGGTTTTGAGAGTCACTTCATCCATCTTCATCCTCATGGGGATGTCTGCCCAACACAAGCCCATGCCAAGTGCAATCCCAGAAGCTCGCTGGGGTCCCATTTGTACTCCCTCACCAGGTTTCTTTCGCTCTTATCCTGCAAGTTCAAGAAGTCCAGATATTCTTCAAACCCCAGTGATGTTTAGCATCTGCCAATCTAATCTGGTTTGGGGCTTGATTCTGGCCGAGCCAGCCAGTAAATAGCAAGATTAGGCAGAAAATTGTGCGTGTGATTACTCTAATTCTGTTGCAATGTGGATTCAACACAGCTAATCAATTAATTAGTTGTGCAAGAGAAATGCAGTTTCATTATGAGTTTTCACCCTTCAGAAGGGCTGGGAAGGTGGCTGGGCCACAGAGTGCTGCAATGTGCTGCACATGTGCTCAGGATGGCGCATTGTCCTCTTCTTTGCCGCTGGATATGCGCCAAATAACATACCTTTGTCGAACTTCAATGAATGAAGCATGATGGGTGTGCGCCTATAGGGCCTATGGTTGCCCGAACTTCCACACAGTGTGGATAACTCATTGAAAAATAACAATGTATAAATAATTATCAATATATCATTTAATATGATGACATATCTACTCATGCCATCTACCCATACCCCATACCTTCCATACCTTGATAGATCTTGACTGTCGCATCATGTCGCCACGGTGCCATCGACCCAGGACTCGGTCCAGGTGGAATCGACTTGGATCCTGGGTTCGGTACGTGAAGCTGCGCTTCGCCATCTTCAACAGCAGCCGCAAGAGCAAACAAGCCATGAAATCTGACTGAGATCTACGAAGCATAAATATATATTAATATATATATATCATATAAAACATGAATGGAACAAAATGGAACAACATGAAAGTATATCAAAATAAATATGATGAAAGGAACAAAGTGGAACAATATAATTGAATAAGAGTTAATGCTTCGAGAAAGCGAAGCAGCCACTCAGCCACTCAGACTCACCAACCCAAACCTAGAGGTAACATCAGGCACTGAGCCACTCAGCCACTCAGCCACTCTGCTTTGAGAATAGCGGAGGGGCACTCTACCAGAGTGGCCGAGTGGCTGGTGCTGGCAGAGTAGCTGCACCCAAAATATCCACCAACACGCACTTCATCTTGGAATAATGAATAATAATAATAATAACAGTAGTAATGATAAAATATTATGGAATTAACTCTGGAATGAATGTATTATACATATGTATATACGTATATGTGTATGTTTATATGCATGTGTGTACATACGTACGTACGTACGTACGTACGTACGTATACATACATACATACACTACTTACATACATACATACATACATACATACATACATACATACATACATTACTTACATACATACATACATACATACATACATACATACATACACTTACATACATACATACATACATACATACATACATACATACATACATACATACATACATACATACATACATACATACATACATTACTTACATACATACATACATACATGCATACATACATACATTACATTACATACATACATACATACATATACGTGTACGTACGTACGTACGTACGTACGCACGGTACATACATACATACATACATACATTACATACATACATTACATACATACATACATACATACATACATACATTACATACATACATACATACATACATACATACATAGCATACATTGCATACATAGCATACATTGCATACATTGCATACATTGCATACATTGCATACATTGCATACATTGCATACATTGCATACATTGCATACATTGCATACATTGCATACATTGCATACATTGCATACATTGCATACATTGCATACATTGCATACATTGCATACATTGCATACATTGCATACATTGCATACATTGCATACATTGCATACATTGCATACATTGCATACATTGCATACATTGCATACATTGCATACATTGCATACATTGCATACTTCCATACATTCCATACATTACATACATTACATACATTACATACATTACATACATTACATACATTACATACATTACATACATGCCATACATTACATACATTACATACATTACATACATTACATACATTACATACATTACATACATTACATACATTACATACATTACATACATTACATACATTACATACATTACATACCTTACATACATTACATACATTACATACATTACATACATTACATACATTACATACATTACATACATTACATACATTACATACATTACATACATTACATACATTACATACATTACATACATTACATACATTACATACATTACATAATTACATACATTACATACATTACATACATACATACATACATACATACATACATACATACATACATACATACATACATACATACATACATACATACATACATACATACATACATACATACATACATACATACATACATACATACATACATACATACATACATACATACATTTACATACATTTACATACATTTACATACATTTACATACATACATACATACATACATACATTACATACATACATTACATACATACATTACATACATACATTACATACATACATTACATACATACATTACATACATACATTACATACATACATTACATACATACATTACATACATTACATTACCATACATTACATTACCATACATTACATTACCATACATTACATTACCATACATTACATTACCATACATTACATTACCATACATTACATTACCATACATTACATTACCATACATTACATTACCATACATTACATTACCATACATTACATTACATTACATTACATTACATTACCATACATACATACATACATACATTACCCTACAATTACATTACCATACATTACATTACCATAACATTCCATTACCATACATTCCATTACCATACATTACATTACCATACTTACAGTACCATACTACATAACCATACATTACTTACCATACATTACATTACGCATACATTACAACCTTACCATACATTTACATTACCATACCTTACATTACCATACATTAACATTACCATACATTAATTACCAGACATTACATTACCATTACATTACATTACCATACATTACATTACCATACATTCCTTACCATACATTACATTACATACTTACATTCCAATTACATACATACATACATACATACATACATACATACATACATACATACATACATACATACATACATACATACATACATACATACATACATACATACATACATATATACATTACATACATTACATACATGCATACATACATACATACATTACATACATTACATACATACATACATACAAACATACATAACATTACATTCATACATACATACATACATTACATTACATTACCATACATACATACATACATACATTACATTACATTACATTACATTACATTACATTACATTACATTACATACATACATACATTACATGCATACATTACATACATACATTACATACATACATTACATACATTACATACATTACATACATACATTACATACATACATTACATACATACATACATACATACATTACATACATTACATACATACATTACATACATACATTACATACATACATTACATACATACATACATACATAACATAACATAACATAAAATTACATTACATACATTACATACATACATACATACATTACAATACATACATACATACATACATCCATCCATCCATCCATCCATGCATACATACATACATACATATATATATATCATGTAACAGTACAACAGTACGAAAATCCGTGAAATATCATCTGTTTATCCGCAATGACGGTTCACTCCTTGATCTCCTTTGGGACCGGGAGTTAGCTGCAACGTGCTGCTGAGACTCGATGGCAGTATCTGGTTTCTTGGTCTGTTTGAAATTGTCCATTCGCCTTGGTGGCGCCGGACGTTCTCGATGAGATACCTGATGTAGTCTGACTCAGCAATCTCATCTCATATATGTAACGGTATGCAGATACAGATACAGATATTGATATAGATATAGATATAGATATTGTATGTATGTCTGTCTGTCTGTCTGCATGCATGGATGGATGGATGCATGGATGCATGGATGCATGGATGCATGGATGCATGGATGCATGGATGCATGGATGCATGGATGCATGGATGCATGTATGCATGTGTGCATGTGTGCATGTGTGCATGTGTGCATGTGTGCATGTGTGCATGTGTGCATGTGTGCCTGTGTGCCTGTGTGCCTGTGTGCATGTGTGCATGTGTGCATGTGAGCATGTGTGGATGTATGTATGTATGTATCTATGTATGTCTGTCTGTCTGTCTGTATGTATGTATGTATGGATGTATGGATGTATGGATGTATGGATGCATGGATGCATGGATGCATGGATGCATGGATGCATGGATGCATGGATGCATGGATGCATGGATGCATGGATGCATGGATGCATGGATGCATGGATGCTATGGATGCTATGGATGCTATGGATGTTATGTATGTTGTGTATGTGTGTATGTGTGTATGTGTGTATGTGTGTATGTCTGTATGTCTGTATGTCTGTATGTCTGTATGTCTGTATGTCTGTATGTCTGTATGTGTGTATGTGTGTATGTGTGTATGTGTGTATGTGTGTATGTGTGTATGTATGTATGTATGTATGTATGTATGTGTGTGTGTATGTGTGTATGTGTGTATGTGTGTATGTGTGTATGTGTATGTATGTATGTATGTCTGTCTGTCTGTCTGTCTGTCTGTATGTGTGTATGTATGTAGGTATGTACGTATGTACGTATGTACGTATGTACGTATGTACGCATGTACGCATGTACGCATGTATGTGTGTATGTGTGTATGTGTGTATGTGTGTATGTGTGTATGTGTGTATGTGTGTATGTGTGTATGTGTGTATGC